CCCCCTCTCCCCCCCTCTCCTTCTCCGTCGTCATTCACCAATAACGATCGTAGCGGCCATTATAAACAATTATGTATTAATTTCAGGTCCGATTAATTTGTACGGACGGCATGCGGTACACCAAGGACGTTGACCTGGTGCGTAAGTGCGCGTGCACTCGCAAGTGTTACTAGCCAGTCGACGTATCGCGGCCCGAGTTTCGTCGACACACGTCGAGATGTAAAACGAGACCGAGAAGAAACCCCCGGATCCGAAGTAACATCCCCGCTCGTGCTTCCACGTGTCCTCGAAGATGACGAATGGGAACGCCAACGAGGCAAAGTAGGAAAAAGCGGCGACGCGTCCTCGGCATTCCTATGGTAGTATTCGCGAGACACGTGGGTCGAAAAAGTGCGTGAGGCGAAGTGCAGGCCAAAACTAGATGGACACACACATAGCCGGCTCAGTGTGATATGTATTATTAATGAGAGCAAGGGAGAGAAAGAGAGAACGAGAGCGAGCGAGTGAGCGAGCGAGAGAGACAGAGAGAAAGAGAGAGAGAGAGAGAGAGAGAGAGAGAGAAAATGAGAATATATCGTACATATATAGCTACGGACTATCGATATTCGAAGCAGTTAAACGTATACTAGGTATTATTCGTATATAATGACCGATATAAGTATATAGCAACGTGAACGAGTGGATGAAAGAAGGGTGACGCGAGCGCACGCGGACAATGTGTCTGTGTTTGCTATCGCAGACCGCGGACGCGGGTGCTCGCGCGTTCGTAACATTTACGCACGAGTGCGTATTATTACGCCGTTGATTTAGCGCGGAATGGACCTAACTGATAATCGGCGATTCACGGCTGCGTGCAAACAGGCTTCCGTAATCTTTTTTACAAGATATATACGCAACGCTTTCTGTTTCATACATTTGTCTCACAACGGCGGTCGTAATTTTCCTTCGAGGAAAATGACTTTTCGACGCAACGCCGATACGACTGTAGCCTATTATTTAAAAGTTATTTAGAATCGTTACAACAGAGAGTATCTAGAAAATATCTAGTAATTCGATGCGTTATTCGAAATTTATTATTTCTACAAAGGAGCTATAATCGTAAATCTTTCTTAGGATAACGAGAAACTGAAAGTTTGCAAGTATCGATCACGAAGCTTAGCCTCACGTTAGGTCTATTTCCTTTTCAGCGAACTTTTACACTAAACGTGAAATCTTTGATCGCATAGCTATTTCTATTCACCGAGCAACAGTCTTGAAATTTTTGCAATAGAAGATATATGCGAGACGGAAAGTAAAGAAATAAATGTTTGCGAGAATGACGTCAAGTGACTGCAAGATTGTTTCCGCTGCAAATTGTTCTGTTTTGACGTTTGAAAGCATCTCGCTTGTACAATACGCGCAGTACGGACACAACATTGTCGTATAAATAGCCAATAAATCTAAACCTCAACACAGCGACCGACGGAAAATTGAAAACAAAGCGGCGTGTCTCTTGCCTTTTCCATCAGTTTAGTTACAGTGCTGCTAATTTAGCATTTTAACATTTAGCATTTTAACCATACAACCTTTACCTAGTATGAGTATCAACCCGCCGAACAAACGGCTATGCCAAGAACATACGACATGCAGAGTCACGAGTGCGCAACAAAAGACTGCACAGAGATAAGTGTCCAACTGAATGCGAAGTAGAAATATATTTAAAATATCGAAGAAAAACTCGATTCACAAAGTACAATTGTCAACGTTTCCTTATTTCGTCCCTTTCACCGATAGCAGCAGTGGGAATGTAGCTTAATTTTTGTAAAAGCCAAGAAATCACGCCGTGATGCCGGACACAATCGTCAAGACGGACTGCATCGCGAATTTCGAAGGGCACGCTTCGAATTTTTGCACATTACGGCCTAATAATCCGTTTCGAGATGCGAGGTGCAGCCTATATGTAAGCTACACACGGAGTAATGGGGAGACACGCGAGCGATCGGATCGATGATTTCGACACCGCGAACGATGATAGGAAAATACGAATTATGAAAAGTGAAACAATGTGCGCGTAATATTTCGTCGATCGTGTATGTGTATATATATATAACGTATACACAATATGTATGTATATGTATGTGTGTGTGTATGCACACGCGCACGCGCACACACACACACGTTATCTCGGAATCATCGATAAACCGAAAAACTCCGAGACGGAGTTTGCCGCGATATAAAAACGCGTAATTATTTTTGTATAAGCGCATTATTTATATCTAAGCTAATTTGCCGTTAGTTTAATCAAAGAACGTAATGCATTCGTATTACTTAAGTCTCTATTAATATATGGCGTATTATGTACCTATGCTGTAACCTATTTATACGTATCTATCTTATTCCCGGAAAAACTGCATCGCATCTTCCACTGCCAGTATTTATACGTATTTATTCCGTTTCTTTTTATTTTATTCTATAATAACACCTCCGTTAACCTACCTACTTGCCCCTGTCCATGCTTCATACAACATACACAACTTACTCAAAGTACGAACAAACATCTCTCTCGACGTGCTTCACTATCATCCTTCACGATTTCGACGCGATCTTACCACTTTAACGCGTACGCCCTGCGAGAAAGTACCAATCTTAGAGTTTATATAGACATAGCTTCTGACCGCGCTCGACGGCCGTGAAACAATCACATTGCCGTATTTCCTAGAGTTATTTCCAATTTCACTGCCATCGTACAACTGCCCTGCTTGAGTAAGCAGTATTTTTCTGACCACAACAAACGGAAGAGATATTTATCGGCTCGAAGACAGAAATATTGAAAATATTTTTTTTACATTTATTCTGCTCGCTTAGTTTCATTATGCACGAGAAGCTTATTTATTCTGTTGCGAAACGAAAATATAAAAGGTGAATAAAACGAAAAATGCAAAAATTGATAAGCCGTAAAAACGCGTACACAACGCGATCACATACATGTTGTATCGACTTTCAAAACGAACAAGGCCGAAAATTGCGATATTTAGCAATTTTAGCTTCATACAAACATACACAACCTACTCAAAGTACGAACAAACATCTCTCTCGACGTGCTTCACTATCATCCTTCACGATTTCGACGCGATCTTGCCACTTTAACACGTACGCCCCGCGAGAAAGTACCAATCTTAGAGTTTATATAGACATAGCTTCTGACCGCGCTCGACGGCCGTGAAACGATCGCACTGCCGTATTTCCTAGAGTTATTTCCAATTTCACTGCCATCGTACAGCTGCCCTGCTTGAGTAAGCAGTATTTTTCTGACCACAACAAACGGAAGAGATATTTATCGGCTCGAAGACAGAAACATTGAAAATATTTTTTTTTACATTTATTCTGCTCGCTTAGTTCCACTGTGCACGAGAGGCTTATTTATTCTGTTGTGGAGCGAAAGTATAAAAAGTGAATAATGAAACAAAAAATGCAAAAATTGATAAGCCGTAAAAACGCGCACACAACGCGATCACATACGATGTCGTATCGACTTTCAAAACGAACAGGGCCGAAGATTGCGATATTTAGCTCTATTGTCTCTTCTTTGTATACTTTGTAACAGAGAAATGAGCAAGCGTGTAAATGCGATATATGCGACATATATGATTTGATAGTATTAATAGTTGCGCGTGAAAGAGTTTCTCCTATGTTTGCTGAATCACTTGGCCGTCAGTCTGCAATTAGTCCAATCTGAGTATGAATTTTTACAAAAAAAAAAACACTCGACGTTGGCGTTTATCGGAGGAGAACAAATTTTGTAATACGATATTCTGTACATTTGGTCCAACGAAATACAAATAAACATACGCAAAGCAGCGTACATTCATTACCGGCGCGTCTATTGTGTCACAACGGCTCGTCTTTCGTGTTTCTCTTTAGTATGATTCTACACTAAACATTATTAAATATAAATTGTAGAAATATTACTCTCCTTCCCCCCCCCTCTCTCTCTCTCTCTCATTCACTCTCTCTCTCTCTCTCTAATGGACACGATTCGGTCACAGGCTGCACAAATCACACGAATACGTTCAGACATAAATACATTCCTCTTTTTCTTTTTATTTCTTTCACTACTCAGTGCAAGCGCAATGTTATCTATCAGCTGGAAACTGATTGATTCAAGCGCAAAATTGTTGTTATGATTTTACGTGACACACACGGTAATATTCGTCGTATAACATGTTTATATCATATAAAATTGTATAACACGGAGAAATATATATGTGGTGTTTATCAAAAACTATATACATCTATATTGAACAATAATAAAACGGAATTCTTATAATGTCGTAATATATTTTCGTGTCGTGCACCTGTCGGAATTCCTGGTAATTTGCATTTGTACATTTATTTGACGAAAACGTTTAACATATTTTGTGATCGACGGGCTTAGCGCATAGCACGTGTACCATTTGGCTTTCATTCACAGGATATAGCGAACACTTTTACTTCGAATTATCGAATCATACACTTCGCAGAATACACATGTCTCGCCTCTGCTATACATTAGCCGTGAGAGCGAAATCTTTCGCTTGATTTTACGGAGAAAATTACCTCTTCGCGTTCGAGTTACTCATTTTTTCAATTTTACCACGCTTTTCTTTTATCACGCTTCGCATTTGCATCGTCGACACTGCTATTGCAAATATTCCAGTTCAAACGTTGATTTTTCTGAATTGCACCGTATAAAGATAAAAAAATTGACCTTTATTCCGTTGCCGCAAAGTCACTATGAAAATTTAGTTAAATCGCGCGTTAAAAGATCAAGGAGAAGTGAATTGTTGCGTAATAAGAATCCGATCGCTATTGATAGAAAAAAGAAAAAAATATATCCGCAATTACAGCGCAAAAAAATATACTCGTTTATGTAAAATTCTATTGCCCCACTCTCCCTGTTGCGGATATATTCTCCTCTCTATTCTTAAAATCATATTATGCGTTAGATCGATATCCAGTCGAATAATATCGTTTTATTCTCAGTACGTATATATGATGTACTCATGCTTCATTGAGAGAGAGAGAGAGGGAGAGAGAGAAACAGATTAAATTCAATTTTATACACATTAAATCCAAACAAAAGCGAGCAGACACATTAATATATGATATTACGACAGCCTTAATTATATTTTGCGTTAAATGTTTAATAACCGTTTCGTTAGCATCTGTACATTCGATTACTAAACGAATAATTTCTACACATTTTTCCCATTAAAAGTTGCAGCGCCTCAAGTTGTCACAATTGAGAGACTTGCTGACGCGCAACAATCGGTTATGATAAGAGCCGAAGTGACAGTACATGAGACATTTGATGTCATAAATGCAACGGAAAATTCAGAAAACATAAATATCTTTATCGCATTCTTATCTGTCGAATAAGAATATAATAAAAGATCAATATTTACATATCGTGTATATTCCGTTACTTCGACTCTTGACATAACCGATATCCACTACAACAGTGTCTCTCAATTGAGACAACCAGAAGTGCTGCAACTTTATTCGGAAAGATATGCATAAATTGTTTAAAGTAAACGGAATGTATATACACAGTACAATTCTATACGTTATTTTGTTTATAGAGAAGAACTTAATAAAATGTCAAAGATATTTGAAAATTTTCATAAATATCAAACTTGTGAAATTGATTTAAAAACGTCTTTATTCGAATGACTCATGTGTAAGCTATAAAATACATGGCAAAACATTCCATGTAAAAAATGGCACTAGTTAATTAAAGGAAACACATGTTCCATGTAAACAACGAAGAAATTTAGTTGTAACATCTTATCAAAATAATATAAATTTTCTATAAGTTATTCTCGAGATTGGGGGACATGCGAGATTGCGGACACAAAATATTACAAGATTTGCGTGGAAAAAATAAAATGTACAATTCTTTTATTTTATATATTAATCCATACCATATATAATACATTACATACAGTTGTACGAATATTCATGCATCTTGATGCAATTATATCGGCTCTGTGAATTTCGAAAGTTACCCGCGATATCGCTTGCGATATTGCCATGTTAGATTTTCTTTCGATCACGTTATGGATTTCCGAGATCACGCTGTAATGTAATGTAATGACGTGGTGAAAGTCTGAAATTGTTCTTTTTTATGCATGAACATATATGGACACATACGGATGTATCCGATAGTGTGTCTAGAGACACCGACTGATGACGATAAACGAATTATGAGGACTAATAACGAGAAAGTGTATGCATTGGTGAAAACGCGCGCGCGCGTCTGTGAATGTGTGTGTGTGTGTGTGTGTGTGTGTGTGTGTGTGTGTGTGT